TGGCAAGCATAATGCTGTAATTCACTCCCCACCTTTCCCCAGAGCCACGCACACACTCTCCTTTGTTTGGTGCCTGCCTGGGCCACGCTGTGTCTGAATCGGATGATTGATTCACACTCGGGCATTGTGTTTCCCTGCAGAGCCTGGCTTGCCCCATACGGACACTCTTGCTGCGCTCACTGAGCTTGACAACGCCTGCTCCACAGGGCAACCCGGCGGCTTTGGGGGGGGGGTGTCGATTCTTGCAATGCTTCCAAAATGCGTTGGATTATGCAGCTGTCCCCACATTTTGCTGTCATTTATGGTTGCCGGGCAGCTGTCTGGCAGAGACACTACTAGGAGCTATCGTGGGGGGTGTTGTGTCACGGACCATCTACCCCCCACTGAAGAACAATGGTGCTGCTCACGAAGGTACAGAGAGCTCACAGCTGGCCCATGGAGGCTGTTCTCTGATCAGTCCACAAGGGGGCCACGTCTACCCTTGTGAGAAATATGCAAATGAGGCTAAGAGTGGAATATCGCCGAGCCTCATTTGCATACCTAATGAGCCACCATTTTTGCAGAAGAGGCTCTTGCGCCAAAAGGAGCTGTCTACACTGCCCCTTCTTGCACAAGAAAAGCCCTTTTGCGCAATGCCGTTCTTCCTGAAAATAATCGGCGTAACGCAGGTTGACTCACACGCCTCCTCAGGACAATTCCTCCCCCCTGCTTCTCCCGTCAGCTGTCTGTAACCCGCCTGCAGCAGTGCCAGGCTGGCACCCAGGGCCAAATACAGACCCCTGCAAGCCGTGCGCAGCTGGTCTGTCGCGCCCTTCCTACAACTCACCCGCTTGGCGAGAGGTTCAGTCACTTAGCCCAGCGGTTGTCCAACTAGGCATCGCGACCGAGCACTGGTGGGGGAATGTCGGGGCCTGGGCCCGTCGCTGCAGGGGGATCAGGTGAGCATCGGGGAGGGGGGGGGGCGCTAAGGCAGCAACCTGTCTATCCTGGTACTGCAGACTGCGCTGCACCCTAGAAGCGGCCAGCAACAGGCCCAGCTCCTAGGTGAGGGGGAGGGTGAGGAGAACACAGGGCTCCCCATCCTGCCCCTGCCCCAAGCACTGGCTCCCCACTCCCATTGGCTGGGAACCTGCTGCCGGCTGCTTCTGGGGCAGCCTGGTCTGTGATGCTAGAAGAGGCAGGAAGCTGCCTTAGCCCCCACACTGCACTGCTGACCAGGACCCGCTGGCGGTCAGCCCCTTCTGCTCCAGCTCTGACCCCCCCCCCAAAGCCAGAGCCTCCTCCTACGCCCCAAAACTCCCCTCCTCAGCCCCACCCCGGAACCCACAATCTGGTCACATGATGTCGGATCACGGCATCAACAATTTTCTTCGACTGCTGGGGAGGGAAAAGTTTGCAAACCGCGGGCGCGGCGGCCGGCTTCGCACGTGTGCGATTGCCCTCTAGCGGCCCCGCCCCCCGAGGGAAATCACGGCAGAGCGCCCATCAGGGGAGCGCCCTTCAGCTCAGCCTGTGCTCTGCGACGGAGCTGTTTGTGCGCCAGATCCGGGGCTCCCCCCCCCGTCTCTTTCGGAGCCCCTCAAGGTGCGGGGAGAACTTCGCAGCCAGGCTGGGCCACAGCAGCTGGTTTTCCGACAGGGGGGCCTGCGAAGCAAAGTGACTCAGGCTTTGGCTTCAGCCTGAGATAGTGGGGCTGAGCGCTCCAGGTGCCAGCTTACTATCCTGGGCATCTAAGGCCAGCTGTGCTTGGCAGCCCCCTTGAAACCTGCTCAGAGACCCCCAGGGGCCCCAGGCCCCTGGTTGAGAACCACTGCTCTAGCCCCACCGCTGTGTGTGCACCTGCTATACTGAGTAACCGCGTCTGCCTAGAACAGGTCTGTTCCAATTCCCTTGTCCTGCAGCAAATCAAAGGGACCTCTGACTGGTCTCTTGCTCTCCCTAAGGAAGGATTTTGCTAGATGGGTCTCAGAGGCTTAAAAATGTCCTGGGTTCACTGTCTTGCAGCCTCAACAGCTCAGCATTTTACACCAGCCCTTCCTCCACTAACCCCAGCCTAAATCCACTGGCCTGGCCCCGCCCCCTGCTTCCTCTGTATCTGCTGGCTGGGAGCCCTGTTCCCTGGAAGCCCCATCCAGCAGGGCGGCATGGGACCGGTGAGCCCCAACCCTGGGGAGTTTTGGCCTGGCGGGAAGCACGAATGCCCCATCGCCAGGGGTTCCCCGCAGAGCAGTCG